GTCAACGATGGTCGACAGGTGGACAGTTTCCCTCCGGCGAGAGAAACTTAGAGAGAAGGCAGAGAGAATTTTCATTTCTCTATTTTTGAGAGAGAAAATTAAAAATGAAAGGGTTAAGGCCCTTAAGGGCCAGATTTTGGGTATAAATACCCCTCCCCATGCGACGTCGTTTTGGGGAGGGGCTTATGAGTAATTTGTGAGTGGGTAAACCTCGTTTGTGGTCTCTGTATATTGTAAGCTTTACAATTTGGTCAATGAGATCAGGTTTCTACGTAATTCAATTTGGTCTTCACATTTTATTTATTTTTTATTTTAGTCATTAATTGCATGTATATATATATTTTAGGTGAAATAGCTTATTTAGTCCCTTATATCTTAATAATTTTTATTTTAGTCCCGTATAATTTATTATGGTTAAATCACACTTCCAGTACCTAGCTTTCCATGATATTTCGATCTATGGCCACTATTTTCGTTATTTTACAATTTAATCATCGAACTTTAATACTTTAATTTTTAATATTACTATTAATTTATTTACACTTTTAATACTACAAATATGATTTATTTACAGTATTGGCCTTAATTTTTTATATTTTCATGTTTTAATTATTTTATGTAATCGGGTTATATTATTTTATACAATGAATCATTAAATATTTCCTTAACTTGTTAGAAATATATTTTAAATGATTATTGGTATAAAATAATAACCCTGATATTTGTTGAAGGGATCATAAAATAAATTAAATAAAATTTGTAAATTTTATTGCAAATACATTAATTAATGAACAAAGGTAGCAATTTTAGGCTTTGTGGGGTGCTAATCATTCCTCAAACGTAACTAACTCCCAAACTCATTTTCTGGTAAGCAGACCCTTTTCGTGTTGTTTTAATAATATTTTTATAATTTTTATTAAAATAACCAAGCATTTTTTGTGACCAATCACACCTCGATAAATGATTGGTGGCGACTCCTCAAATTGTGTTTTATCTTATACCAGAAGAAAAACACTTATTTTTCGAGACGAGATTTAGAAAATAACGACAATTGTTTTCGCCGGGCAAATATCGTCCTGACAAAAAATATAAATTTATAATTATTTTAAAAGAAAAAAATATTCTCAAATATAAACCCAATTAATTTTATGTTTGTTCGTTTGTTTAGCATTTAAACGAACGAACATGAACAAAAATGAACAAGCTAAATTTCTTAATGAACGAACACGAACAAAAATCTTTTAGTTGTTCGTGCTTGTTCATGTTCGTTCATTTGTTTGGTTAAAGTTAAACGAACGAACATGAACATAACCTTGCTTGAGTTCGTCTGGTTCGTTTATAGGCCTAGGACCGATAAAAAAAAGATAAGAAGTTGTTATTGTTATTGTTATTGTCATTTTATTATTGTTATTTTTAACTATTTAAGAAAAGGTTATTATGTATTTATAAACAAATACTACATTGTATTTAGTCCATGTTAATAAAAAAAAGTCATTATTAATAGAAAATATATTATAATTACTAATCTGCATTGGTTGTACCAGCCTAACAAAAAAAAGGGGGTTTTGGCCCATTACAGCAAACATGCTATATATTTAGCCCATTAGAGCACCTGACTTTTTATTTTAGGGAATGCGACATTTGCTATAGTGTCATCTCGAGGTGACGAGTTCCATGATATATAATTTTTTAATAGACCTCGATGAGTAGGCCCCACGTGAGGTATTAATTTAATGTAAATTAAAAGAAATTATCACCCATTTAAAAATATTATTTAAAAAATTATAAAAATAATTTGAATTTTAAACCTTTAAAAAAAATTAATGGAACTCGTCAAGTTCCTTCGAATTTAAAAAATAGTTGTTTATAATCGTTGGTTAACGAGCAACAACGGTCACTTGGGCAACAGTCATCATAGAACTCATTACCTCGAGGTGATGAGTTCTGCTGGATTAAATTTAAAAAAATTAATTACAAAATAAATTAATAATTGTATTAAAAAAATAAATTGCTTGCAAACTAGTACATAATAAAATTTATTTATATTTTCTAAGTTTTTAACGATGTCGAGGAGTGGTCGAATGATAATGGTGTAGTGTTCGTCGAGTACGACGGGGTCGTCGGTCTTGATTGTCATCTTTGTCATATTTATCTTTATCTTGGTTTTGTTGATCAAAAGAAGGTTACTTAACAAACTCTAAGATCTACCTTTGAAATACGGTAATGGGCTTATGGTATTTGATCCCATCATTGTTGTTACTGAATCAACTTGGCTACCTTGTTGACCATATATGATATGATCTCATTCACCTCACTCGCATGTTCTGTCGAAGATGCTTGAGTGTGTTTCATTGCATCCCATGAACCTTTAACCAAGTCGGATGAGTCTCGGTTGAAGTATGATATGCATGACAGAAATCGAAACTAACCTGAGAGATGCATAATAGTAACTTCATATGTAGATGCTGAAGCAGAAGAAGAAGATGACGATGATTTTTTCGACTTGGCAAATATGACCTTATGTTGTTCCAATTTTCCCCTCTCTTTTGCTATCGTGAGATATGATTTCCTATTTTCTTTGTAATTTCAAAGATAGGGAGAATGGTCGAAATATAGGTCCATCGGTGTAATCTCATAACGCACCGGGAACAATTATTGACGCTGATTCCATCACTCAATGTAGTAAGCATGCTTCATCGGCCAATTTTCTGTATATTTCCTACGCGTATCAATTGTATAGAGCGCGTCCATATCAAATATTTGCGTAGGAATCAGTTGATGAGATGCAAATTGTTACAACACTCTATCAGCGACTTGCAACTCAACAATAGTAAAATATAATATAGGCGTCACGATACACCATAAATCAGACCCATCAAAAAATCCCGATGGTAATAACTTGTAGATCTCTTTGTCAGAATAAGGAAGCCAAGAAAATTGTAAATATTAATTATAAAAGTTTGTATATATAAAGTTAAACAATTTCAAAATAAAATAAAATAAAGAACTAATATTTATCGCATGTCGACCGACAATGTCGATCCTCATCCGTATATCATTTTTAGTGGCACCCGACAACTTCATCTCGGTTATTTTATGGCGCCATATAAAAATATTAAAAATGATTAAAAAATTAGTTAAAAATGAAGTTAAAAAATTACCTTCCAGCTAGAGAAAACTCAACTGAAGCTATTGTAATTTGCGTAAAAAATGAGAATCGATATCAAGCCCATGATTGTAGCAATATTAGACAGCATGCTACATCGGCTTTTCGACCCCGCTCGACGATTGCACCTTTGCAAAGCTCCCAGAACAAAAAGGTTAAAATCGTCGAGCACCAACTAGTATTACAACCCTCAACAAAATTATTTAAAATAGATAGATACTGAGTGTATGCCAAAATTACCGAATTTATCAAGTAATAATACTCATCTGATCAACAAGAAAATATATGCCCAGGATGTAAAAATAACTTCCTCCTCAAAAGAGTTGCCCATCACTTGAAATTTGGACTTCTAACCACGTTATCCGTATCCGATAGCCGTCCATGACCTCGAATAGTGGCAACCTTCCCAAAACTTTGTAAACCATACCCATGGGGTTATAATTATTTCGCCTCACGATGACGACACCATTCACAAGAACATCAAGTTGTAAGCGACATCTTCCAAAGTAATCTTCGTTTCACCACTCAAGAAATAGAAAGTGTGAGTCTCGGGCCTCTAACGTTCAATTAGAGTAGAAATCAACGCCAGGTACACCTTAAATCCACATACAAATATGGCTAGATATAGATCGGATTGTTGAAGATATATCATCATCCGTTGATGCGGATCTGTCGATATCATCCTGCGTTGACGAATGCTCCGTTCTTCTTCCGAACAGAGTTTGATCGATGAAATATTAACATTATGGAGGCGTAACATTTCTTCTCATGAAGCCATTTTTCGAGATTTCTTTAAGAAGTACAATTTTTTCTCAAATTTGTTCGTAACAAAGGATGATAAAAAACTTAAACTCTAAACCCCTATTTATAGTCCTAATCCCAACGACTATAAACGACAATAAATTTAAAAAATCGAGGTGACAAGTTCTATGATGACCATTGCCCAAGTGACCGTTGTTGTTACCCGTTGACCAACGACTATAAACGGCTATTTTTTTTGGATTCGATATGACGAGTTTCATTAATTTTTTTAATGGTTTAAAATTTATATTATTTTTATAATTTTTTTGAAAAATAATATTTTTAAATGGATTCGTCTATGTGGAGCCTACTCATCGGGGTCCACTAAAAAATTATATTTCTGAAAACTCGTCACATCGAGATGACCAGTGATAATGTAGCAAACGTCGTATTTCAAAAATGAAAAGTTGGGTGCCGTAATGGGTTAAAACCCGTTTGCTGTAAAGGGCCAAAAAGCCCAAATAAAGGACCGAGCAATTTGGATGAGGCTGGTATGAACTTTTCAGGCTTGGTGTTTGACCAAATATCTTTGAAACGGATGGTGCGAAATAATGAATGGTATTATCATAGACCAATAACAACGGTGATGAAAATAGACCTTCACTGCTGTTACAGCTGCTGTGGTACTGATATGTATTCCAAATGTATTCAACCTTTAATTCTCTTTCTTACGTTACGAAATTGCATATTAATAGTATATCCTCGAAAAAAACGAGTTCCTGAAAATCAAAAGGACACCAAGTGATTGAGAAGTCGCGTTCCATCTCCTATCATTAATTGAGGGTGTTGGATGATTTATAGATTGGACATGGGATTAATTTGAGCCACTTGGGCATGGGACACTTTTACGGTTGGGCGAATGACGCATAATTGCATTACATCATCAACCTCGCGTACGATATAATTTATGGTTTCCATGTAGTAAGGTGAGATGTATCCATCAACGCCAGCACATGGGAGGCTGAATATTCTACTGCTACACTTCGTTTTTAATTCACACCCCTTCGCCCCCTGCCTGCCTACCTACATTTTATAACGTTCTTGCCACCTTAACCCTAAACCGGAGTTTCCACAGCCTCGCACAGTTTTCACTTCAACATTGATCTTCAGCAGGTCCAAGGTAACAGACATGGCGGAGAAGGTAAAGGTTTCACTTTCCACTATAATTTTATTCTTTAATTATAGGAGTATCATTATTATTATAAAAGAGGCTAACTAAGATATAGCTCATCTGCTCATTCTTCCATGCCGGAACCGGAATACGTTATTTGCCTTTCTTATGCTTAATAATGCGGCAAAATTCAAGAATGCTAAATTTGGGATATGGAATTATTTATCTCTATAACTTTCATTTATCATACGTAATTGTTTCATGAAATATATGCTACGTACGGATGCAGGAAACGATAATGGTGTTGAAGGTCGACCTTCAGTGTTGTCGCTGCTACAAGAAAGTGATGAAAGTTCTTGCTAAGTTCCCTCGTGAGTTTCTAACCTTTTTCATTTTTATGATTTGTCCGCACCTGTATGTACATACGTAATTGTTCGTATTTGTCATTTTGTATTATTATATGTATTATTATCATTGAATTGCAACACAGTACTAGGTAGGTCTTGGGTGATAATTAAGCTCAAGGCGAGAAATAGTCTGAGTTGATTTTTGATAATGGCTATTGTGAACAAGAGAAATACGAGACCAGATATACGACAAGAAGGCCAACACGGTGACCATCACGGTGGTCTGCTGCGATCCAGAGAAGCTGAGGGACAAGTTATGCTGTAAAGGTGGCGGATCCATCAAGAGTATCGAGATCAAACCACCTCGAAAACCCAAGGAGCCCAAAGAATCACCGCCAAAATCACCAGCGAAAAAGGCTTCTCCACCGCCGCCGGCGGAATGTCCGCCGGTCAGATGTTGTTGCACAGAATGTTACCATGTCCATCTTTGGGGTCCTCCCCCTTGCTACTTTGGTGTACCACCACTTCCTCCCCCATGCTATTCTTATGGTAGGCCAGTTTACGATAACTGGGGCGGCTGCTGCTACAGGTACAAATGTGCGAGTCTCGGTGATTGTTTTAGCGACGAGAATCCACAAGCTTGCTCTGTCATGTAACTGTTTTAACATGGCGCATTCTAAAAGATGGTAGTAATAGCTTGGATATGTATCAGTTCTTTTATGTGAATTTTTATTTTTTCTTCTTTTTATTGAACAATGTTTTATTGGTCATAAATAGGAAGATTAGTGGTGATGGGTGTGTTTTATATTTATCTTAATTTGTGTGGGGTTAGTAGTTTGGTGACTGGCCCATTGTCCTTCAGTTGCGGTTATGAATTTGTCTTTCTTAAATGTTTAAAGCAGAAGTTTAGGTTCCAGTTTCCACATTCACGGCATGCAACGTAATGGCTTTGTGCCTGCCTTGGACAAATATTAAATGAGACCCAGATTCATTGCCACGACCAGTCATTCTCATTTCAACGTGCAAAGTCGTATGGATTTTGATGGTTTTCTTAATGAATCAAAATGATAACTATAAACATGAAATTAGTCAAAGGTTTCTAAACATAAAAAAATTATTTTAAGAGATTTAAAATTTATATTTTATCTACTGAACTTTTGCAACTTTATTTTCTTTTTTTACGGTTCAAGTTGATATATTTAATGACCTTTTAACGTATTTGATAAAAGTTTAAATTGTTCAATATGGTTTTATAGTTTGATGGATATGGTAATTTCAACATGTGATAATATCATACCTTAATGCTTTATTTCAACGAAAATTTAAAAAATGTATTGAAGAAGAAAAAAAACCATCAATCGCTACGGTTGTAATATGATTCAATTTTATATTTCCAGGAAATAGAAATATAGATATGAACGATTTTTACAAGTCATATACTAATTAAGTCGATGAACCTTAAACCTTAAATCATTGCAAACTTTCAATGAACCAACTCCCATCACTCTCTTTTTATTATTTCAGATATCACCATCTTTCGTATAATACCTAATAAACCAAAACATAGCTTCATTTTCTTTGACTAAAATGATAAATAATATAGAATGACTACAAGGAAATATCTGTTTAAAAAAAATTAATCCAAAACTTCAGTAATACTCTCCACTCACTTAGATCGTAGATTCATGATTATGATGTTCACTGCTTTTGTTTATTATTATCATTAGTTATCTCTATTTACGCAACTTTAGTTAACAAAACAGGTTTATATGTGTATTATATAGTGATCAGAAAGTCTTAGTCTAAAGCGTAAAATTACACCTTAAATATGGAAATGAAGTCACTCCTAGTGCAAGTCAACATATAGAAAGAGTTCAGCGACTGAATTAGTGTCGCATGATTAGACAATCACTCAAGAAAAAGAAAAAAAGCAATCATTCCTTAATCCCTGATGATTATTATTATAGCTGCAGCAGGCTGCCTCACTTAAGCTGCTGGGCATATGGTTCCGCATTTGCCACTGCAGCCTGCGATGAGCCTGCATTGGACTCACCCTTGAGATATCCTCCCATGGTTCCATTCCAAAGAAGCCATGGCCATGGTGATGGTGATTCCCCATGTGGAAGCTAGCAGGTACAAAAGAAGCAACACCTAAAGCTCCATAATCAACCACTCTCTTCACCAACGGCTCACCCCTGGTCGATCCGCGTTCACCCTCCAGTTCCCGGTAGCGATGGAGATATACCATCAAAGGCTCGATGTAGTCGTCGAAGCCTAGCTTACTCATTGCCCACAGCACATCCTCCGCAGTGATGGTCTTGCGTTGCTCACATTGGCAGTGCTCGTTGGCTTCTCCCGTTACGAAGCTGATGTACTCTGAGACCCATTCTTGGATGGTTTCCTTGGCATCATCGGATATTTTAGCGTGCGGAGGGACAATCTTGCGCATGATCCTTATAACATTAGCAATCGGCATGAAGCGGTCTTGTTCTTTCACGGTGCACTCGTTGTCATCGGAGTTCGAGTGGCTGTTGTGTGTATGGTTGACTTCACCCGTTCTCACGTTCATCTCTGGCACCTTCAATCCTGGACCAAACAAACTTTCCCAACTTATTTCAAAGACATAAAACACTAATCACATTATTAAAAATTAACTATTAATTAGCAAGATTTGGTCATTGAAATCGGGTGAATGGGACAAAATATATTAAAGTTGAGTGAACACAAGGCGAGGATGAGAAAGAGGAGTCCTTGGGAAACATGAAAGGCCCCATGAGTTATAGTTTAGGTACCCAGGGGCCATGGCACCAGTTAAGCATGCAAAAGGCCCGTTAGAAGCTCAGAATTGTTTAAGCTGAAAACATTTTTTTGACTTAAATTTGAAGTTTTGAAATGAAGATGCTTTCTTTATTCATTTAGCACAGAATGAATGCATGGCTGCCACTTGTTATCGTGGGGTCAAGTGCCAATGCGTTTCCGATTGGCTTCACACGCCTGCCGTAAGCCATTTGCTTTGGTTAAGTTAGTTTCCATGATCTTGTGTCTCCACTTAAATCTTCGCAAGCACCACCAAACAGAGGTAATGCAAACAGAAAATCAAGCAAGGTAAAGCATCCCGATCGAAGAAGAACTCGGAGGAAATCCGAAACACGGACATGCATCAAATTAAGAAAGTGAGAAACAACAAAAAGGGGAAAGCTGAAGACACCATCTGCATGTTAATATCGATGGATGGTAGCAAATCCAGGTCAAAGACAGAAACCAAAATAGTATCAGTTGGATGCAAGAGATAATTCAAATACTGGATTTCATGAATGAGAGGGGTAGATATAGTAGAATCATCTCATAAAGAAAGATAAATATATTGCAGGTGCAGCTGCATATGGATAAAATGGGGAAATTATCATGGATCCAAGCAGTAATTTTCACCATTTTTTCAAGTTATACACACACACACACACACTTTACCAGAGGCATTGTCGGGGAGTTTTCGGTAGCTGCGGAAGCCTCCGCGTTCCATCTGTCTCTCCTTTCTTGCAAACTCCCCCCTAACTGGAGCTGGATCCCTCTCTCACTCTCTCACACGCAGACAAGTTTAGGAGTAAAACTTGAGCTGTTTGTTGATTTTTAATCAAGAGGATACCAAGGAGAGCACTTGGCAAGTGTCAATATTTATAGTGCCAAAAAGGTTATGCCACGTGGCAAGGCGATGCAAACGAAGTATAGAATTAGCTCTTAGCAACCTCCCGGACCCAAACCCATACCCGAACCCGAACCCAATCACAATTGGCTGACTACTGGTCTACTGTATGCCAGGGTTCAGGTGGCATGCAGCAGTAGCTTCTTTTCGTCTCTTAGATATGAAGACTTAATGTGCCAATGAACTAAAACTAGCTATAGTTTTTATTACCAACTGTGTTCGTTCAAGTGGTACGCAACTTGATACAATTTAAACAAGGTCTCAGGTTCGAGTCCTTATGTATGCATAAAATTTTTGTTAGGAGAGTCACTCAACAAAGTTAGGTGTGCTACCCGGGTCGATCTAGATTAGCCAAATCTAAACCTTGGAACCGAAGGACAAAAAAATGATAGTTTTTAGTGGTGTATATGAAAAGAGAATAAATGTATATAACACCACTTTCAAAAGCACTTCCATCGGGTGAAAAACTTGGGGTAGATAGTGTGGAACTTCGATGATAAGATGTAAATAGAAAAGGCATAAACGTGCCCTAGCTAAGAAAGAAGAAAGAAAAAAGAAACCAGAAGAACAAAAGAGAGAGAGAGAGGAATTAATATTCAATTTTATTTTATTTACTTCACTAATGAAATACAAAAGTAAACCTACAAATATATAGTGTGCTAGAAGGAGCAATATAGCCCAACAAATACGGGTCATTCATAACAGAATGACCCAACAACCCAAACCAACGTAACAGAAACAAAATAGAATAACAGTGCATAAGAATATATATCCTATCAACGCAACAACTAGAAACAATCATATTAGAGCTCAAAGAAACAAAACGAAAGAACAAGCAACCAGCACAATGAAGAAAAGAAAAAAAAATAGAGGAAGAATATTACCAGGAGACCAATCAAAGAGCGAAACAAATGGACCAAACACATTGAGGGTTGCGCAGAGGAGATCGCGATCTCGCGAGACAACAAACAAACCTCGACAAAACAATAAAAAAAAAATCATTGATCTACCTTTGATTCACCATCGGCGACACTTCTTTTATCGAAAAATCGCTGTGATACCATATGAAACTTCGGTGATAAGATGAAATTAGAGAAGGCATAAAACATGCCCTAGCTAAGAAAGAAAGAAGAACCAAAAGAACAAAAGAGAGAGAGAAAAATGAATTAATACTCAGTTTTTATTTTATTCACTTCACTAATGAAATACAGAAGTAAACCCACAAATATATAGTGGACAGAAGGAGCAATATAGCCCAACAAACACGAGTCATTCATAACAGAATGACCCAACAACTCAAAAAAACTTAACAGAAACAAAACAAAATAACAGTACATAAAAATATATATCCTAGTATAGATTCTTTTCACTGTTCTTGGGGTATTCACCATTAAGAAACTCTACATTTTTTTTTAATTTTTTGTTGTAATATTTGTAAAATATTTCTAATATTCCAACTGTTACAAATAAAAAGTTCTGGGTGATGAGCTTTTATCTCTAAAATATTAAAAATTATATCACTTAGTAATAAAAGTTATGAGTGATGAGTTAATTAATGATTATATATATATATATATATGGATCTTACATGAGAGATCAAGCATTTGGGTTATTGTCACTAAAAAATGGAGGATATACGAACTCGGAGTTGTACTTGGATCAATAATATTAAAATTTCTTGATATCACTAGTCTTTTTATGATCATATTCTCCATCTCCTCCTCCTTTGCCTTCTTCTTTTGTGCATCTTGTTTGTTGTTTCTTCATCCTTCACTATGGATACTTGCTTTCTGGCTCTCTTGTATATATGATCTACCAGGTTTGTCGGATTTATAATCCCTTTCACTGTTGCTCGACCATTTCGCACATCCGTTTCCGCTGCCTCTACTCCTGTTAACTTGTTTTCATTACATACAAGATGTGTGGGAAATTAAAAAGATGTTAATTGGGTTGTAAAACACTAGGATCATCTTTTAATACTCTGAATGGGTTGCAAAATTACAAGTAATTAGCAGAATAAGGCTAGAAGTATAGATTCAATTATTAATTGAACGTCTGTCGGTCAATAATTTA